GGAGGGAGGGAGAAGGGGACTGAGGGGTGTTACATTTAGTACACACGGTGTGGGGGTCACGGGGAGAACAGTGTAGCACAGAGAAGGCGCATAGTGGATCTGTAGCATCTTACTACACTGACGGACAGTGACTGCGTTGGGGTGTGGTGGGGACTTGATAATATGTGTAAATGTAGTAACCACATTGTTTTTTCATGTGAAACCTTCATAAGAGTGTATATCAATAATACCTTAATAAAAAATAAAAATAAAAATAAAAAAGAAGAAGCCTGCCTATTCACAGGCAGTACTAAGTGCATTTATGTGCCAGGAACGGGGTGGGAGGTGGGAGGCCATGGAGCACAGGGATCGCAAGGGTGCAGAGCCCTCAGAGAGGCAGGTTTCCCTGGCAGGAAGCATCCCTGCAGGCACAGGAACCAGACCCCCTTGGCCCGTCAGAAACTGGTCTGCAGGTGGGTAATGTGCATTCCAGGTGAGGGTAGAAGGGCTGGGCACCCTTGCTGTCTCTGAGGGAGGGACCTCAGCAGCTCCTGAGAGTCCCTGGGCCCTGCGTCCACCCCTTCCAAAGCTCTGCCTTTTCTGCTGGGCACACATCTCCTGTCTCTCGGCCTCCCCCTTGACCCCTCTTGAGCCAGTCTCATGAGCAGACAGAGCGAGCTCATCAAAACCTGTTGGGTTTAGTTCCATCCCTGCCCAGAAACTCTCAGGCTTCCTGTCATGCTGAGAATTAAATGCAGATTCCTTAGGGTGGGCTACCGTGCCCTCCAAGGCCTGCCTGCCCCCCACCCCGCAGTCGTGCTGTCCTGGCCTGGCCGTCCCCTTGTCAGGCCGTTGTGCTCACCTGGGCTCTGCTCAGGGCCACCTCTGCAGGGAGGGCCTCCTGACTGCCTGCCCACATCTGCACTGTGGCATGTAGTCCGCCTGGGGTCACCTGGTTCTCATGCAGAGGTCAGGTCCACGTGTGCTCCCAGAGTGAGAGTCGCACCCCACTCACTCCCTCAGCGGTGGTTAGTAAGGAGAGTGCTTGAGTCGGGGTGCTCAAGACGCCGCAGCTGAGCAGAGAGCCATCACCTTCCTTACGAACGGGCCTTTGTAGTGGTGGGCAGAGGCCCCTTGACCTGGAGGTACAGCTTCCCACTGTCCCCAGAGCTAAGTAGCTGGTCTGAGCCAGTCACAGCCCAGTGACCGGTCTGGTGGAGTGGCATGGGACTGAGAATTCTGGTTGTGAAAGGCCGGGGCCGCCCCTGGGATCTCTGGGTTCCCTCCAGGGCCCTTCCTTGGGGCAGTGAGGACTCTGCCACAGCATCGCTGGCCCTCACCAGCATTGTGCTGCTGCTAAACCCGTATCTCAACCACCCACCTCCAGCCCCCACAATGTAAGAAAATAAACTGCCTGTTTGAGCTGCTGCTGGTGGTGTGTCTGTTACTTTACCCAAAATCAGTCTTGCTGAAGGAGCCGTGTGGTGGGCACATGTTCAGGTGACGTGGCCCCCTGAAGCCTGGTGCCGTGTTCTCACTGTGACTCTGCCATCACTTCTAGGCTGGTTTGGGGGCTGCACTTGCCATGCCCCAGATCCTTCTGTGTCTTGGGCTGTCCTCTGTGTCGGTGGGATCCTTGGGAGCCCTGGTAGCCACTGATGCTGGCAGAAGGAAGGCCCACATACACATGTGGTCTGACTGGAGGCACTGGCCCCAGATGGGCCAGCCATGGCCTCTGCCTGTGGCCTGCAGCTTCTCTTCAGGGAGACCCACAGCCACCTCAAGCCTTCCTGGTTTCAGGGTGAGGACAGGGGAACTGAGGAAGGTGCACCATCTGTGCACCACATCTGAAGAGCCAACGCCCCAGCGAGAACTAAAGGCAGGCTGGTGCCCAGGCAGAGCCTGTAGGCCCCTCCTCCAGCTCAGCCACCCGCCAGCAGGGAGAGCAGCACATTCCACAGATGCCCACCCGTGCCCCGCGGCCTCCTAGTGCTGGGCATAGATCGGGAGGGGCCCACTCCTGCTCCCAAGTGCCTCCTCTGGAGCAAAGGAGATGAGCCGATGCCCACACACCTGGCATTTCAGAGTGACAACCTCCTGCGGGGAGGGGTGTGAGTGTTTCATGGGAAGGGACACCAGGGAACCTTCAGGTGCTGCAAGTGCCCTCTCTGGATGGGGGGGAAGCACACACACATACACACAGAAGAATCAAGCCACACACTTAGGATTGTGCACTTGACGATGTGTGTACTTCATACTTTCATAGAAATAAAACGACCGTGACAAACGCCACAGAGGAAGAGGACTTGGTCCTACAAGGGCATGATCACCGGGGGGGTGGGGGGGACGATCGAACCAGTCAGGGATGCGTCCTTGTCAGCCGACGTCCAAGGACGGTGTTTAAGCCCACCCTCTACACCCACGGTCGGAGAGGGGAGTGGTCTTGCCACACCGTACCCCACAGCCGGCTTTGTTGTGGTCCCCCCCCCCCCCCCCCCGGCACAAATGCTCTCTTCTCGCCACGCCCGCCGCTTTAATGTGGCGTGCCCTGACAAGGGCACTTGTCCGTGCACGCACGCCAGACGCGCACACCTATTCCTACGCTTACCGTGGCCCCCGCCTCCGCTTGCTCCCCGCTGCTGTTGATCTAAAAAGCAGCCTTTCTTCTGCGTGCTTAAAGCTAAGGTGCCCCATCCACCAGGCTGGGGGTTCTCCACAGCCACAGAGCCACCTCCCCAAGGACCCCCAGCCTGCAAGGAGCCGGGTGCTGGAACGGACAGAACAAGCACGTCGGTGCCGTGACTGCCCTCGGGTGCATTAGGGAGGAAGAGCAGGCATCCAGAGCCAAGCGGCCAGCAGGCCGAGGGGCAGCCCCAAGGGCCCCAGGGGCCCTTCATTGCCCTGCCTCCCCACCCACCGTGCTCACAGGCTGGAAAGGGGAGCAAAAGGGGGTGTTTCCATGAAATAATTACATTTGTGCCTCCTCTGAACGTCTTTAATTTCAAAAGTCTTAGGTTCTCCCTAGAGTACCCATATGATGCCCGCGATCTCAGCCCTCAGTGAGCGGCACCCGTGCTTCGGTGTGCACGCCCCGCACTGTTCTCTGTGCTCATGCAAATATTTCAACTTGGTGTTTAACGCAACACCAAGGTGGGTTCTGATCTTACCTCACGACCCCTGGACACTGCCTTTTGGGTGTCTGAGGCCTGTCACCCCTTGACCAGGCCTGGTGCAGGGGCAGCAGTAACAGAGAGAGGACCGCATTTGCTGACACCCCCAGCCTGCTCGGTTCCTTTGTGGGAAAAAACATCCTCAGAGTCGTCACAGCTGTGGCGGCCCAAGACTCCACCCCCTGCTGAACAAAATAACACCTTGGCAGCCTGGCACCACCCACAGCAAGGAGGGAGAGTGGCCTCCCTCAGGAGAAGGGGCGAGGTGGGGGTCATCCAGGTCCCTGGAGGAAGGGAGCCGGTAGGCGGTGGCCGGGCCCAGGGTCCCTTCCACAGCAGGAGATGACAGATTTCCTCCTTGCTTGGCAAACACTGCAACAATGTGGAATGGATGGCTTCCTTGGACCCGGTGTCCAGAGCCTGCCCTCCCACTTAATTCCCTGTAGGAGACGACGGCCGCCTCCAGGGTCTCCAGGTGGTGGGGCCCCCAGAGCTGGGGAAGGGGTCGGTTCCTCTCCCCACAGCAGAGGTGGGCCTGGGGCCGTGGGCGGGAGCTGCAGCCCACCCATTCTCGAGGGGGCCTCTGGCTCCCTGTAGCTGCTGTCTGGCCTTCTGTTCTACCCTGGGAGTCCCCAGCACCCTCTCAATAAATTCCCTTTTGGTTAAATTACCCAGAATCAGTTTCTATAGGTTGGTTGTGGCCACAGAAAGCGCTAAGCAGCCCAGAGGGAATTAAATACTAACCCCATCCTGCTAATCTCAGCAAATGTGGGCTGAGTAGTGGGAGGGAGTGGGACACAGTCCCTGCCATCCAGGGGGACGGATGCAGCCTCGGAAGGGGTCAGTTCACATGCAGAGTGTTTGGCGGGCCCCCCAGAGTCCTGTGGGGTCCACCTGTGCCCATCCTGCCACCCTCACTCCCCTTCCCAGGAGCTTCCCATGCACCCCTCCTCTGAAGTGAGGGGGGTCAGTCTCCTCTCCATGTGAATCTCTGCAAGGCCCCCCAAAGGGGTGCAGCTGGGTCATGTTCTGCACGGTAGCAGTCCTTCTAGATGAAGGCTGCAAGTGGCAGCCCACAGGGTGGTGAGCAGGGTTCTGCAGAGGTGGCCCTTGGGTGCTGAGGAAATGTCAGGGGCCAGCTGTCCAATCCACTCCAAACCTGCATAAAGGAAATAGGAAATCAAATAAAAGTTGTCCTTCTGTCATCAAATGATGGCTGAGAGAGCTTTTGGGGCTAAATTGTTTTTTGCTCCTCTCTGCAAAGCTCTACGTATGAAAGTACTTTGCTCACAGGTGCAGATGGCTCTGGATTCTGAGGGTGCTGCCGTCGGACAGGAGCTAGGACTTGAGACACGGCCAGAGTGCTGGGTTTTACGCCAATCCCATAAAACATGACCCAGGAGTGGGGGTGGGGCGGTTCAGGGAGAGACCCCCAACGCACATCGCTCCTGCACGCATCCCACCACACCTGCGCCCGTGCCTGCAAACCCGTGAGGCCACCTCACAGCAACAGTCTGTGGGTGCGGAGCCTGGTCCCCTCCCTCTGCTGGAACCAAGGTGATGCTCCTTAACTTACTTCCCATCCCGCTCCCCTGTCGGGAGGCCTACGGACCTGTTCAGGAGGAGGAGGAGGTCTTCCGCCCCACTCCCTGCTCCTGGGCTTTGGTCTCTGTTCTTCTTTCGAGGAAGCAGTCTTCTGACCGTGGCTGCACTGGCTCGGCGGCCCTGAGAGGACTGTTTCTTGTGCTTGCGCCCTCATGGGAGCTGCTCCGAGCAATCCCTGAGCAGCCCTCAACCCGTGGCGCCAGGAGCCAGCTGGTCGATGCTCTTGCTCCCCACCCTTCAGGCGGGCACACCAGCGAGGCACCTGTCCCAGGTTTCCCTCCCTCCCGGCCTCTCTCTGTCCACTCCTTCACCACAGCATTCAGTGGGGGCTTCGCAACGCCGGCCGCCTGCCCCTTTGCCCTCCAATTCCTTCTGCCTGGAACTGAGCGCAATGCTCAGAGGCACAGTGGCCCTCACTCAGGCAGTCATGAGGACAACGGCCACACACACACCCAGGACACAGGGCCAAGGGGAGCAGCTGGCCACCCTGGGTGTGCCTTCCAGTGGCCGTGCTGCCTCCGGCCTCCTGCTACAGAACCACCACTTGCTTGGACAGATGGCTCTTGCTGGGGTTTCCTGGAGGCAAACTCTTAGCATCGCATCCATTACATGAGCCATTGTTGAATGTTTCCACTGACACCAGAAAGAATGGTGTCCTCTGCAAGTACAGCGTGAAACCCAGCGTGTACATGTCATTGTTCTAGCACATTATTCTTTCAGATCTGTTTTTATCATAAACTGATCGAGACAAACTCTACTCCGTCGCTGCGATGACGTCCGCCTCCCTTCTCACGCCGGGCGACCTTCCTGACTCACGCATCCGGTCCTGTTCCGTCGCCAGACGTGCACTGAGACGGCCGCTCTCTGTCGTGCTGTGTTATTTTGACGACCTTGGATACTCCGCTTCACTTTTTGCCTTAAATTCTCCCTTGATTCCCCTATTCTCCCTCTGGCCTCAAACAAAATAAAACTCATACATAGAAAGAAAACTGAAAAAAAAAATCTTAGTTAATAGCTGTCTTTAAGTCAAGAAGAAATAAGGATTTTTTTAACCCCCCTTCGATTTTCTACAGTTTCCAAAATTCCTGTAATGACCGTGTGCTAATCTTTATAATGGAAAAATAGTACTCGGGAAAATGAAACAAGTTCTGTGGGGCATGATGTCTATAAAAGAATGAGCTGCTCTCAGCCCAGTGGGTAAATGTGCTCAGCCTCAAGACAGTCCTGAGATGGGCACTTTAATTGTGGCTAAAATAACTGTTTTTGAGTTCAATTAACATACCTATACATTTTTATCTTTCGCTTTTCTGTGGATGTTTCTATTTGCATTTGGGGGTCTCTAATAACCAACACGTGATAGTTGAAAAAATTATGACGTTTATGACAGGAAAAAAGGAAAAGGAACACCCTCAGCCCCACCTGTGAACACAATGCTGACCTTCATGTTCCTCGGTATTTCTCTACATGTGCTATCTAGCATAGTTTCTGCGTATTTATTTTCCCTTAATATTTTCTGTATTATTACTAAATGTGTTAGTAAGCACACTTTTTTGATATCGGCCCAATGTTTCAATTTTAAACAAGAATGTGTGGAAGGCTTTTTATTTAGGGCACTACCCTTAGATGTCAGAGTCCTGGTATTGAAGGCCTCCTGCGCTGGGCATTGAGCTAGGCTGGGAGCGGGGGTGCATCAGCCATGCTCCTGCCAGGGAAGCAGGCAGAACGCCCCCACCCAACTCCAGGGCCCAGGGGTCCCAGTGCCCAGGACAGGAGGTCCCCCAGAGACACAGAGAAGAATAGCAGATGCCTGTGGGAACTGGGGATTCCAAGGGCAGAGATGGAGGGGCGGGAAGAGAGGGCTGCACAGGGCAGGCATGGGGCAGGCTGAGGCCCAGCGCCGAGCCACTGCAGTGCAAGAGAGTGGCCTGCTCAGGGTGCTTCAAAACACCAGCGTGGCTGCAGGTGCAGGCCGGGAGCCCAGGGGCGGTCGGATCTAGGATGAAACTCTAGGTGGTTCCACCCAGGCAGAGGCGGGGAGATGGAGGGGAAGAGAGGGGTGACAGGGAGGGAGTGAGGGAGTCTAGGAAGACTAGGCTGAGAGGGGGCAGGTGGAGAAGGGTGTGAGTTGCAGCATCCACAGCACCCGCCAGGCAGTTTAGGCCTCTGCCCCTCAGCGCCCTTGTTAGGGTTATATTTACAGCAGCCTGCAAAGCACCAGCCCAGTGACTGGCCCCTGCAGGTCACAGGTTGGTGACTTAACCCACAGCACACAGAGCTGAGCCAAGGAGTCTACTCAGAGGCAGCATGCTGGGCCCCGTCCCGGGGAAGGCATGGGGTCCAAGGGAAGGAGGACCTGGGACAAACCGGGACAGGGTCTGCAGCAGAGCTGAGGAGCAGCAGCCAGAGAGGTGAAAGCGGGAGGGGGTGGGGTGGGCAGGTGCAAGGAAGGCAGCAGTGGCGCAGGAAAGTGGGCAGGCGTGGGAACGGTCCAGTCGAGAAGAAGCTATTTCAGGTGCAGACACCTAAGCAAGTCCAGTAACTACCCTAAAGGGCCAGTGGGAGGGAAAGGGAGAGAGATGCCGGAGCAAGAGGCCAAGCCCCACAGGGGCACGGGGGCGGCTGGGCACATGGTGCCTTCCTGGCGGTGGAAGGGCAGGGCGAGGAGAGGGAGGAGTACAGGGGGAAGGTGGGGGGCGGGTCCCCCCATACTACAGCTATGGGGTTCAAGTTCCAAACACACACCCAGGGCTGCCTCTTGGCTTCAGTCAGCAGGAGGTTTTTTTCAGAGGGGGTCTGCTTTGTCTTCTTGGGGAGCAGAGCTGGAATGTTCTGGTGTGCAGGGCGGCCAGTGGCATTTCCTCGTGCTGCAGGCCCGCGTCACCCACCGACTCTTGACACCCTGGCCGTATTTCTCTATCGGCTGTCCTCTGAGGTGTGTGATTTCTATATGCAGCAGTTTGGAATTTTTATGCAGCGAATGTGTCCATACTTCCCTCTGCTCACTGTCGTTGAATGACCACCTGTGGCCTCCTGGTGTCACGCCAGCACCAGGCCCAGTGGGGGGGACCCAGGCCCACCCCCAGGACGGCAGCCCTTTCTCCAGGAGAGAGTATCCTCAACCACCTAAGACCATAGCGAGTAGCCATCTCTTTCCTTCTGGCTTTCTGTGGATAATTTTTGAAATGCCAATGTCAGGATGCCAGCAGACGGCCGCCCTCTCCCTCATGCTCATCGGTGTGCACACACTGACTGCAGCCATGCCAGCTGCCCTCGGGGCTCTCAGGGCAGGTGAAGAACATGCACAGTATGACCAGCGCCCTCTCTCTGGCCTCAGCTTCCTCACCCCAAATACATCAAGCGCATTTAGGGAGAATCCCTAGGGGCTCCCTGTGTGGTACCACAGAGACCCGGCGTGATTTCAGAGCTGAAACGTGTCGAAATCCCCATCACCCTGTGGTTTTGGCCCCCGTGCCAAGGCCAGTACCTGGGCCCCCAGCCCCAAATCTGGGCCCCCCCAGAAACAGCCAGGGTCACACCAAGCAGAGAGTTTATTAAGGTGCTGGGCTGCGGGGAGCGCTCGCAGAGGCAAAGCAGACGCCGGCGTGGCTGGGGCCCGGGGTGGGGCACCCTCCTCCCAGCATCACTGGGGGGCTTGGGGTGAGCATCAAGAACTACTCCTAGTCCCCCCAAGACCCTCTGGTGAGCCCCTCCCTGCTCCCCATGAGTGCCATGTGGGGCAGTATGAGGGTGCCTCTCTTTGTCCCTGCAGTTAAGGACGGGATGATCCCTTGAGATTCACTATAAAAATTAAAATTCCTTTATAAATCACAGGGAGGGGCAGGAGGGGGTCACCTGGAGCCTCACCTTCTTCCACGCCCCCCCCAGTTCTGACCCCAAAGTAAAGAGCAGAGGGCGAGAATTTGCAGGCACACAGAGGGGCAGAGACAGGCCTGAGGAGGGGAGAGGTCAAGGGGTGGGCGAGAGGACTCAGGAGGGAACAGTCAGGGGAAGCGGGCGGCTCAGGCTCCACTCTCTGCAGCCTCTGGGGAGCAAGAAGGAATGTCCCCACAAGGCCCCGGAGACTCCCCGGTGCCAGGTCCCTCATGCCCCCCGTCTGGCCTCTCCGACGCCCCGGCCCCCGCTGCACCTGGGGCAGGTGAGCAGCGGGCAGCTACTCCAGGTAGATGTCCTCTGTGGGGCAGGCGTACTCCAGGTGCTCCTGGTAATACTCCAGGAAGGCTCGGCTGGGGGGAGCACCACCCCTGAGTGGGGCGCCCCCGTCCACGCAGGCCTCCCACGCCGCCCCCAGCGATCCGGCCCAGGCCTGAGTCCACGCCGGTCCCCGTTCCTTGCTCTCTGGCCCCAGTGCCCTGTCCCACCCCCACCCTCTACCTGTGCCTTTTCCAGCCCCAAAATCCCACCCCCTCCTGACGCACACTTTCCTGACCCACCACCTCACGCTTCTCACCTGACCCTCCCCTGCACTGCAACCCAGACTCTCGCCAGGCCCCCAGACCTCGCCACCCCACCCATCTACCCAGCCCTGCGCACCCGACCTCCTCAGGCCCCATCCAAGCTCCTGCTCCCCACTGGCTGACCCTAGCTCTCCACCTGCCCCGCCACCCACTCACCCCACACTCTGGGCCACAGGCCTCATGGACTCCTGGGACACAAAGACGTGACAGGCAAAGCGGCTCAGCAGAGGGTGTTTGGTAATGAAGCCAAAGTAGCTGCAGGGGGAGTTGGTGAGAATGTCATCAGGGCAGGGCCATGCCACGGGCCCCCAGTGATTTGGGAAAAAGGCAGGAACAGAGGTCTCAGAGAGAGGGTGGGAGGACAGAGAAACGTGGGTCATGTGACTTCAAGGCTTAGGGGTGCCTTCCTGGGTCCCAGTCTAGCGATCTATTAATTTTTCCACATCGGGGGCACCCCGCCTTCTTCCTTTTCAGGAGCCAGGGCCGCCCACCTCTGGTCTCTGCCCAGAGCCTGCCCCAGACCACAGAGCAAGGCCCCGCCTGTCTTCTGGGCTCAGTGTCTCGGCCGTCTCTTGCCTTGACCATCACCGCCTGACGCCTCGCGCCTGCCCAGCCCCACTTCTGGTCCTATGAACCCACAGCTATTCCCTGAGCTTCCGTGGGGCTCAGCATGGGCCCCCACCTATAAAACCGTTTTCCTGGAGGGGAACCTCCCCACCATTCTGCTGTCACTCATCATGTTATTCTTTAATCTGCCCTCTTCTCACTCAGGACATTAATAAAAATTATCCAACCCACATGAGACTGCACTGGGGTTCTGTGGTCCCACCAGCTGGCATCACTAGCAGGACAATGTGCTCGTGTCTGGCCCAGAAATGCGCCAGCGCCTTCCTCAAAGCCGGGTGTCGATGCTACTGCTCACGGTCGCCAACGCGGGATGCTGCTTACCAAGGCCAGCCACCGTCCCGCACGCTTTGTGTTATCAGCTCCCACGACTGCACAACAGCCTGAGCAGGCGTCCTGATCTGTGACCTCTAGACGGGGGCACTAAGGGACAGAAGGGCTTGGAAACTCGCCCAAGGGCACACAGCCAGTCTGTGACCTTCAGTGCCACACGCTCCTGCCTCCCTAGAAACAGCACGCACAGCACACCTCTACCTGCCACCTGCTCCGCAGAGTGCTGTCGGTGCCTCCTCGCCTCATGGGCTCGGGGGAGCTCTGGAGCATCAGGCATCCGGAAGGCCCGGGCCCAGAGAGTGGCTCCTCTGTCCCTTCCCCCACGACCTCCGCAGCCTGAGCCTGAACCACTGAGCTGACCATCTCTCACTCGTGGAACCGCGCCCAGGTCAGTGTCTGGCCGGGAGCCCGAGTCGGAGGGCCCTGTCTCTCTGCTGAGACTGCTCCTCCGCCGCTGGCGGTGCTCTGCCCGCCCACTGGCCATGCGCGCTGTGGGCGGCCCCGTGGGCCAGTCCTCACGCGCCAGAGCTGCCCCACCACATGGTCAGACAGATCCCACCTTACTCTCTTTCCCACGAAAGTGTCCAAATGACGTGCACGCTGGTCTAGCCTCTGCACAAGCCCCAGCCCCAGCAGCCTCAGGCCCTTCCTACATCCCGCTGGCCCTTGAGGACCTGCTTCCTCTAACACCCCGTGTCATCTTGGGCCTCAGCCGGCCCCGCCTGTCTTCACCACCCAGGACCCAGTGGGCAGGCGTCTGGCTGGGCAGGAGGCTGTGGTCCCCCAAGCCCGGCACTGTCCCTCCTGTCTCTCGTCTCTTCCTGCTCTGCCTGGCTATGTCGTTTGACTCACGGATGCAGCTACCAACCTGCTGCGAACTGCTTCCTTCCCTCCAG